GGCTCAAGGGCAACTCCTGCCTGACGAATACGACTTTAGTCTGAAAGCACTACTAGGGGGTCCGAAACTCTACTCAGGCGTCATAATATCGATCCCCATGTGAACCAAACAGGGGATCGCGGCGAAAACAGTACTTTATTAAACATACCTAATTTCCTATATTTTTATTCATGTTTACATTTACAAGTGCGTTCACTGTTTACGTACAGAATCTCTTATCCGGGTTCGATAAAAGTAGGTACGTAGGTACATGTTATTCCTAATTAAAACTAACAAACATCTGCCACTCAATATTATCTCGAAGAAGTTGCCGCAGATAAATTGATAACAACAATAATGTGAGATGTTTAAAAATCTGTATCAAACATGATACTGTATTAATTAAGAGGCCAAATAAAGTATTTTCACAAATATAAGTATGTATATTTTTCTCTTGACGACCTCGGTAGTCTAGCGGTTTAGCTCACCGGCTTATTTCCGTAGTTTAGTATAAGAAATAAACATTTATTTTAATTAATAAGTAGCACTTTTTTCTGTTAATTTGTACATTGTGCATTAACAAAAATCTCTAATACAAAAAAGCTACATACATGTCATGAAAAATAAGTATGCAGTTACAAAGTTTAATAAATACACTACCTCTAACAATAGAAATCTTGCTATTTTGACTCCTACTTTAGCCACAGTTAAGTTTTTCCCTTAAGGAGATCATTATACCTCACCTTCCCCTATATGTCCATGCAGATAAATATAAACAGTCCTACATAAGTGCAGGTGTTGGAATAGAACTCGCTCGTTGAAATAGAATAATTTTTTTATGCATTTGATAAAACTGTATTTGATGATTCTAATATTAAGCTAAATGACTGTATATAGAGAAATTTTCACATAGTCTTCAGAAATGGCAACCATGAAGTGGTTCTTTCTTCCTAAACCCTTTAAAACCTTCGTCATATGATATGATGCTTCCCATTGATGCGTTTATATAAGATCTTTACCATTTTCGTTACATTAGTTGGACTTCCATTTTGTTCACTACTCCAGTTGAATAAAAACACCTATAAATTACATTCATAACGCTCTCCTAATGAATAATAATAACAAAATAATAATAACCCACGCACGCAGATGGCTGTTGATAATGAACGTGAAATCTGGCCGGAGATAAGGCGTTTTTTCTCTTTTGTTATCAGTACATCGAGTCGGTCGACTGCGCGCAGGCCTCATTCAAACTCACCCGCGTCACTCACTTGTGGGTTCGTGCCAGGGTTGCCAACCTTGAAAATATTCGTTTCTGCTACCAACATACATACATATATATATATAAAGTTCCGTACATGCAAACAAGACGAAATGCCTTAATATATGAAAAAAACTCACCCTTATAAGGGAGCACTGGAGAAGAGACCTAATGACCAGTTACAAAGGTCGAAAAGTGACAGATACTAGTAGTAGTAATATTAATTCAGGCATCATTTCTCCACATAATTGCATTTTATTATTGTTATTTTAATTCATTAACTTTATATGCCCAAATGGCTCTGTTACCGTGAAACGTGTCGATGCTTTGTGGACAAAAATAAATTAATAATAATGAATATTACAAGAATTAAACCTGCAATCATTGGATCACGTGTAGAAGTTCTAATGGATTGTTTCAAACAAAAAAAATTACATCTTAAGAACGATGTAAATTTTCACCGTTAGCGACATCGTTTTTCATGATTCACGAAACCTTTAAACTCTATATTATAAAGAGATAGAGCGAATTTAGACAAAAATACTTTCACTGTTTGAAAAGGCAAAACATTGTATTACAACTCATGAGCACGAGCGAATCCAGCGCGGGGAAGAAGTATCTATTTAATATTTGGCGCACTTAAAATGAAGCAGTCGGTCTGTCTTTTTTCTCAGAAACAACAGACATTGTGTAAACACTTGGCATAAAAAAAATAAAAAAAAGAGTGACACTAAAAACTGTTGAACTAAAAAATTAAATAGCTACAAACGTTCATATAAAAATTATTTTGTCCTAATTGACTTGAGCCTGCTATATGCAGTTTGATAGATCCAATGATTCTCAGTGAGATCACACTATGCGATACAACACGACATGCGCACGAGAATTTGACATTTTGACAGTGACAGCCGCTGTCAAAATATGGACAAACCACACGCTCGGGGCATCCCGTATCATGGTGTCTGTCATTAAAAATATTCATTTACGACATCATGGCTCGCTTTCAACATTAATAATTACTTTTTTAATGTTATAGGTATTAATAATTTAAGGAACAATAAGAAAAAAATAGTAACAATTAGTAACAGTACCTAGTTCAGCCTTAGTAAAATATTTATTGTTATATAAATATTTATTTGACGACCTCGGTGGTCCAGCGATCTAGCACACCGCTTTACGACCGATAGTCGCGGGTTCGATTCCTCGCACGGCACAAACATTTGTATTCATGAGTATGATTGTTTGTATCGGTCTGGGTGTTTTCTATATATAATATGTATTAAATATGTATAAAAAAAAATCTATGTATATGTATCATAATATAATGTTATCTAGTACCCATAACACAAGCTTTAGCTAGCTTAACTTGGGTCTAGATGGTGCTGTGTGAATTGTCCTGAGATTGTTATTATTATTATTTATATTTTACTAAGGCTGAAATAGGTACTGTGTAGGTTCAAACAGCTGTTATTGAGGGATTTAATTTAAACTACCATTCAATACGGACGATAGATATTTAAACGATGGACAGGTGTTTAAAAGAGAAAATATCTTAATAGCGCTATTTACATTTTGGAACAACGGTGGCGGGGCACCAGTGGAAGATGATGGTATTAGGACATAGGAGGATAAAGAAGAAGAAAGAAGTGAGTAAGAACAAACGTGAAGAGTTTTTCAGAAGTTAACCACGGGGTCTCTAGAGGGAACTGTGTGAAGGTTGATCTAATGTAATACACATAAGGTATTTGATATATACACTAATATTATAAAGAGGAAAGTTATGTATTTTTATATAAAAGTATACTATACAAACATTTAACGAATAAATTCAGAAAGTAATGGCCGGATATTAATTACCATATTAATAACCATTAGAAAACTGCATTATCCCAAGTAATATAAGCTATTTTATTATTTTAAAAAGTTAAGGATTGTTGAGATTATTACTCTGTGCTCCAAGTTTAATAGTCTATGGTGTGTCTATGACTCAGTGTGCCCTTCTTGTCATGTTTGAAATTAATGATGGATTATTAAAAGTAATCTTAAGATTATTGCTTTGCGAGGTTTTATTAGAATGGTACAAAAGATTAGGGATCGCTGCTAAAACTTCAATAACACAAGGTGAAAAAAAATGCTATGAAATGTTTTAAATCGCGTGTGCGGAATTGTCCACCCGTGCGAAGCCGGGACGAGCCACTAGTATCAAATATCAAGATGCATGTCTGTACCAATTAATATAGGTACCTATAGTATATAGGTAAGGAACTTAGCATATGTAAACAAAAGAGAAATGCGTACATAAACCTTATCACACTTAAAATAAGCACATAGGTACTTATTTACCTACTTGTGTAAAGAAAACATAGTGAAATTATCATCAATTTATCATTTACGAGATAAAACATACCCAGTGCAGTAAAACTTCGGTTTACTTTCAAACCAATGTTACTATCGCACACAAACAAGATAAAAAACTAACTAACTAACGTAGGTATAACGACATTTTTATCATTTGTAGCTAAAACTCGATTTTAAGGTAAACATCAACATATTATATATTTAGGTTTGTGAGTAATAATAAATCAAAATAAGAGAGATGCTTATAGACGTTTATTATAGCGGAGCGCAGTGACAGAAGTGTATTAAAACAAATCAATACATATAATTATAATTGGAGTGTCTGTTTGTAATATTGAAATAACCGTTTTTTACTGCATATATGTAGTTTTTTATTGCATATGAATATAAATACGAGATATACACCAAAATAACATTTTCAAAAATTTTGTCTCTATGTATGTCTGACTGTTTGTTCCGGCTAATATCTGAAATGGCGAGACCAAGTTTGACAAGACTTTTTTTTGGCAGGTAGCTGATGTAATAAGAGTAACTTAGGCTACTTTTAATTTAGAATATAGTTAAATTCAATTAATTAGAATATAGAAAAATAAAGTTAAATTCCACGCGGATGAAGTCGCGAGTACAGCTAGTGATATATAAAACTGCCCGTGATTCTCATTGTAGCTTTAAAATTATATATATTTATATGCTTATACATTAACATTTACTTAAAAGAGCAACACGTATCTAAGTTTCTTGCTCATATCCGATATGAGCAAGAATCTCAAAAATGCTTATATTAAGTTTATTTGAATAAAGATTATTTCTATATCTATCAGTGTACCAAATGTCATTCCGATCCGTCCAGCCAAGTGTAATTAAGTAACAAATATTAAAATATCAAAACTTTACATTTATAATATTACTAGTCACCCGCCACGGATGTACATGCATTATACATATAAACATTCCTCTAGAATCGCTGTATCTATTGTTAAAAACTGCATTAAAATCCGTTGCATAATTTAAAAGATATAAACAAACAGACAGCGGAAGCAAATATATTTTATACTATTTAAAGATTAAGACAAGTTGGTAATGCATACTGAAACTAACTTTTTAGTTACAAATATTATCAAGAAAATATAATGATTTGAATGAATGTATTGTATTATGAGTGTTTGCTCTATTAACTTTATTTGTTGATTATTTTAGAGGAGACATTTCGTATGTTAACACAATTTAAGAGGTTATGTACCGTTGCGGTTGTTTATTCTTATCAATAGTAAACTAAATAATATTATAGTAAATTAATTAAATATACTTAAATAACTATTATTACACTTAACAATATCATTAACAAAAAAATAAATAACCATGTAACCTCTCTACAATGAAATGTAAACAATATCCAACTTACACATTGTTTTGACGTTTGCAACGCCACCTGGCGGCATTTCCGCGCCACTACTCGCCAACTCCAACTGTTTCAGATAACTCAACCACAATAACATGACAATACATCCAAATTTGCACTGTATTAATCACGAATATGTCATTATTTCGTCGAAAGAACGTCGATTCGTCATACTTTAGCCGCGCTAACTCAGTGACTGTCGGTTGGCGGTCGCGCGCCCCTCTCCCACACATACCACTCGCCCGCTGTACAGACACTCACACAGAGCCGCTCGATCCCTTATCAGGTTGGTTTAACTAGCAATGGCTGGCCCCAGATGTTATCAAGCGGAGCTCGCGGTAACGCTGCATTGAAAGATAACGTCTGCGATGCTATCGCGCTGTTTGAATAAACTTGTATAAAATGTCAAATAAAAAAGCTGCTGCCATAAACGTCGTATCTGGGCGATTTTTTTCTCTGATAACCAATCGCGAGGTCTCTAGTCTCGCTTTGATGTTTATGAAAATTATACTGTTTTGAGTTTGTGTGACGTAAACAGCTTTCAGTGATACGCGAGTACCTAGTTTCAAAAACAAGTACTTATCTACTTGTTTTTGAAAATAGGTACTTATATCGATATTCGATATTTATATAACAAAGTTTTTAGTAAATAATAAGAATGTAATTTATTGGTCCTTCGAGCCGGATTTTTAACGACAAATTTGTTGTTATTCTGAAACAACTCTATTTTGTGTTACAGTAAGGGTGTTAAATTTTTACTTTTTACAACAGACATGATACATATCTCAAAGTTTTTAGTAAATAATAAGAATATAATTCATTAGTCCTTCGAGCCGGATTTTTAAAGACAAATTTGTTGATATTCTAAAACAACTCTATTTTGTGTTACTGACAAGGTGTTATATTACTACTTCCTACAACAGACATGACACAAATTACTAGAAATATAGTAATACTAAGAGATACAGCTGTAATTCACGAAGTTATTAATAAACTATGAAGCATGATGTCTTTAAATAATTATCGCCAAATATATTATAATTATAACTAATCCAGACGAACGCGATAACATTTTTACCCAAACGAGGTAGTTACTTTGATAAATAAATATTATCTACTGATAATAATCTTATGAGATAACTGTACTGATAGCCAATACAATGACTGATAATGCTTTTTTATATCTAGGAGGTACGTAAAATATTATATATACATATATCAAGAGTGACATAATCATTATTGAGGTTTTTAAGTAGTTCATATGTTATTTTGTAATCTTTGCATATACATACCTACTACTACTATTTTAGTTTATTTATCACTATGACGTCAAAACAATGATATACCTATGTGTAATATATATATATATATAACTTAAATCATGATGTAAAATTACTAGGTACGTAGGAATTTTTCTAAAATGTAATAAGCCGATTACTAATTTCTCAGTGCCTTATGATTGACTAGTAGAGAATGCCCTTAGATGTTAAGTTTGCCAAATATACATTTATATATTGTATTTGTGCATTAAAGTTTAAATAAATATATATATTTCGTATGTATATAGTAAAATTAAGATGTTTTTGTACCACGGAGATGGCAATCAAGCTATTGGTGGTAAAGGATTATCGTAGTCTTTATATGGACGGATGAAACACAGGGGTATCAGGTGCGCGTAGCCGACCCCTAAGAAACCTTAATATAATAACCCTTCTTGAAAAACCCATGTTGATACCCCCGAGAGACTACTCTCGGGAGAACCTTGGCAGGCAATTCATTCCACAATCTAAGTGTACACGGGAGAAAGCTCCTCTAAAACCGCATTGTCTGAGACCATTTCTGTTCAGGGTGTGGTCATGCCAATCCATAAGAAACCTTAATATACCCTTTTTCAAAAACCCTTTGCTGTCATACTATAGCACCCTATGCTAAACCTCAGCAGGCAATTCCACAATCTTAGAGTATGCGGGAGGAAGCTCCTCTAAATCCGCACTGTCCAAGACCACTTATGTTCCAGCGAGTGGTGATGAATTCTCTATCGATGGCGAGCGATGCGATGGTAAAAGGTAGGTGTACGGCAGCGTGTAACTTCTGCAACTTACCTGGAATAAAAAGAAAACTATTAAATAATCCATGTAAAAATGTACCTTAATAAATAATTTAAAGAGTTCGAATGTGGCCGCCACTGAAAACATTTGTGTTACAGTGTTTGTTGCCATACTACTCCGAAACGATTTAACCGATTTTGATGAAATTTCGCATACGTTTTACGTCTACGTAATAGGTTAGAATCATCTTTTTATATCCGTATGTGATGGGATGGTCCACCGTAAAAAGGGTATGTAAGATCAGTAATGTGGACTGATGATCACATTGCAATGTACCATTTCAGGTTGATCTCCATGCGGTTTCCCCTAAAAACCATCATCTTGAATGACGAGCGTGCATGGCAATAGTTGTTTATGCACGGGATTTTCATTTAATGTTAAATATGGACACCAATGTATAAATACATTGCAAATAAATAAGCAAAAAAAGTAATTCAATTGAGTTTCTTGCCAGTTGAATCAATTGGATTTATATACTGAACTGGACGGTAGGAAAAAAAATATTAATACAAAAAACTTGACATTCATAAGCAGCTAAAATATCCTACATGAATAAATTATTTTTTACTTTTATAAGTTGTTAAATTTGTCACGTTTTGTTTAATATACCCAGAGAGTAATTACATTCAACATTAAGTATTACGTTTAACACGACATAAAGAGCCGATGCCTCTGTCAACCTCATCTGGGATAAAAGCCTTGAAGGTATATTAATTCCATTATAATCAAGCAACGGATATGTTTGCAACGGAGATTCTGTTGAGATCTCCAGATATGTTGGCAAGGTTATGATTACCAGATACGGCGCAGGTGCTCACCGAAGGCCAACTGAGCATGCTCAGATCTCAGCTGTGATACCTTATCTGAACATCAAGCACATGCAACGCTCATTTACATAAAACTATTATTTTTTTTCGAGCATTTGTCTTATCTTATATCATCAATTACATTTTTTTAGTATACTTTGTACTGCGTACAGCAGTCGAATGGCTTCCATGTGTGATGGAGGTATAAAATGTACTGTGGTTATGAAATTACCATTTCTAAATTAATATTTGATAATAAATAAATATATGACGATCTGCATAAAAAAAGCAATTGGTATTTAGTAGGTACCTCTTCCAACTAGTTACATGAATATAATTTGAGGTCCACAGCAGGTTTGTTATGATTAAAAAATGTGATTAAAATAACTAAGTATGAATATAATATAATTAAAATATAATTCATATATATAAAAAAAAATATAATTCAAATATATAAATATTTATTTAATTTGAATTATACAAAAAAATTGTTTGAATTAAAAATAATAAACCTAATTATTATTCCACATAACTATTAACTTATGAAAAGTAATAATGTCGACAAGAAAAATCAACTTAAGAATAAAAAAATATATAAAAACGTATGAACAAATTAAGATTAGCATAATACTAATCATAAGCAACGACATTTAAAAAATTCTACCTATATACAATTTTTGTAATGTATATACTTACATATACCTACAAAAAAGTAAAATAAGAAATTAAATTAAGATTTACCAAAACATATCTACAGCGTACAAAAAAATGTTAATTTCCAAAGTATGTAAATTATGATTTACTGTAAAAATTTATATACAAAATACTGCAATAACTCAAAAAGTCCAAATATGGTGAAATCAACTCTAAAAATGTAATATTAAAGTCTAATTCTAAAAACCGAATATTTTTAGTTAATGTATTATTGTATTGAGTATGCTATATCTACATATACATACCTACGTATAACTACAAGTAGGTGCTATAAAACATAATATCGGACTACACAAACGGAAGCCGCCGTAAAAGCTACCATCCTATCTCCTACATACTTCAAATTCATAAAAGTGGGTCTAGCGTCCGAAGATAGTGAGTGGCGCCTTCTCCAATATCCAGGAGATAACAGTGGTATAAATCAGAGCCCAGCGCTGATAGCATGAAGCGATAAAACGTATTAATCAGTACAATTTCGTTTCCACTTAATGGATTCCTAATGCGACAGACACCCTGAGACGTCAAACGCTGAGAAGAGGCGGAGCCGTGACGTTATGCCATTTACCACATATTACCACAATTAGCCATTGTAGTGGTCGCCCAGTGGTCGAAATTCGACCATAATTAATTTAAATTATTGTTGTTTCACATCAGAAGGGCCTCGTTTCAAATATTGTTCGGAAAGGTAAAGATTTCTCACAAAAGAAAAACAAAAATTTAAATATTTGTTCATCATAATTATCTCATCCATTCTCTCAATCTCTCATCTGTCTGTCACTTTTTCCAAAATAATTAGAAACAATTCAAATTCAATATACACTTGCCTTTTTTTGACAAACTGATTTATGAAATCATAGCTGATACGGGAAAAAAAATTGCCTATTTTTACTTTTGTCATTTGTGGAATAAAAAAAAATTGGGAAGTAAATTTTTGCTTACGCACGTTGAGGGCTCCTGTGGCCTGGGGCCCTGTGTAATTGATACGGCAGATACCGCGGTAGCTACGCCCCTGTTTCACATTCAGTAAGACTATACACAAACCCATCCATATGACCGTCCACACCCGTCCGGATATGAGTAGTCACTCAATGGTAAACATTTGACCATATTTAATTTAAATTAATGTTGTATGACTATAGACCAACAATATTACTCTATTTTGACATATGCGTGCGTGTCTCTGTGATGTTTCTTTATATGATTTAATATTTTATTATGCATAATTTTAAAAAAATATAGCGTTTTTCACTCCTTCTCTTTATAAGATAAAAATGTGTCATTTCACACTTCTCTGTTTGCGTAATGTTGGTAAAAAGATGTACAAAGTTTATTATTCTTTTAATTAATATTTTAAAGAGAATTATGATTGTTTTTTTGTTTATAATCGATAAAGTATAAAAATAATTAACCAATATTCAATTTAATATTCAATATATACCTATAGAAAGTTAAATTGTGAGCTATATTTCACACAAGCAACGTCGCGGTCAACAATTAGTTAATAAGTATTGCTTTACTGCCTCCATATTGTCGATCAACCTCAC